CAGAAAGTGATCTCTACGACCCTTTTCCTCTATTTCGCCTGCATCCTCCCTGCCATCGCTTTCGGAGTCCTCAACGACCACAACACTCACGGCTTAATCGGTGCGTCCTTTCCACAGCGTCTCATTATCTTGCTTCCAGTTGCCAGTCGAGTGAGAATCAATTTCACGCTGTTGGGAGATCGATTCGTGCCGACTTCCAGGATTTCTTTGATGCCTCAGTTCCTAATGAACTTCTGGGACCCACTGTCCCTGTAATAAGCTATTCATCCGAATGCAGGACCACTTCTAAAAACAGAATTTACATTCCGTGTTATATGAAAGGTCTGCTTCGGCTCACACTGTTACAGCCCTCAGTCTTAAGCTACCTTCTGCTGCTTCCGCGTTGCAAATGGATTATCTCAAACGAGTTTTTGAGCTCTGAGACTCATTCCATGATTTCCTATACCACGTAATTCTTGCACTTTGTGCACTGGGTACACTCTCATGGATCTGTTTAGGAAGCGTAATAAGACATTTGCAAAACATGGGAAATACTGTTTTTTAATGAGTATGTCTGTTTTCATTGTATCAACGGTGTTCTGGTTCTTGGAATATAAACAAGAACGGCCTAAGACCGAAAGAGGAATATTTGAAAATCAGCCTAAAGAGAAGAGGGCTAAAGACAAAGGGAGGCAGGAGTTCCCGAGTTTTCGGCTCAATGAACCTTTATCAAGGACATAAAGGCTTCATAGAGGCCCATTGAGCCGAAAGCTCGGAAATTCCTGCCTTCTTTTTCTTTATTTCTCAGAGAGGTTCTTTTCGTCGATGGGATGATGGAGATTTGAAGAAATCTTCTCACATCCCTCAATTTGTAGCGATTTCAATTTCTTTTCCCTGTCGCAGACCTCTTCAAATCGCTCGAACTATTTTTAGATAAATTGTTTAGCATGTTTTAATCGGAATTTCTGGAGGAAACGTTGAATGTTGTGTTTCTCTTCTCAGACGTGAAGCGCATGATAATAGGGCAAACGATCGGAGGGCTGATATACGTGGTTCTAAGCGGGCAACCTCTCATGATCCTCCTCACGACGGCGCCCCTTGCCATCTACATAAAGAGTGAGTTGTGAACGTGTGAACAGGCTGAATGCTTTTTGGTCTGCGCTCGAGTCTTGTTCGTTTCTTCTTTGCTTCCTCTTGATTTTCTCTCATATTTGTGTTCCCCTTTGACACGCTGAAACGAGAAACAAATTATTCAGGGAAGACAATCGATCGTCCAAACTGGTTCGGAAGGAAAAACAGGGGAAAGAAGCTACCACCATCGGCTTATTAATTGAGAAGAGAGAGAAGTCAGGCGACGAAGTTGTCTTCATTAAGCTGCACGCAGGCGAGAGAGCCTTAATTGCATTCCCCTTATCTCTAATCCCCATGCCAGAACAGGATCCTGATGAGATTTGATAAGCCTCCTAGAACTCTTGCCGGCATATTTTCTTAATGCACACCTACATTTACGCTTCTGTAACCAACAAAAAAAAATTGTTTATTGCCGGACGGGAGAGAGGGATGGCGGGGAAAGCTATTTCTAGATTATGTCGCCTCCCGTGAGGGTCATAAATCGCATAATGCACCTTGCTTTTACACCTAAGCATGGTCTCTTTGTGTTGCCATTTTCTTCCCCTAACCTCCGAGTTGCTTGCTTGTTGTACTTTTTTTAGTTCCTAGTCATGGATGTGTCTCATTTTACTATCGAATTTCATTGAGCGTTCTAGCTGCCTTGCAAACACGAATTGTGTAGGCTCTCTCGCATCCCTGCAGAAATTCCCATCTTCGCCTCTCTTGGCATCCTATTAAGTTCCCTTCTCGAGTTCATCGCTATTGGTTTCTTTCCATGGATTTACTTCCCATATATCAGATGAAAGCCGAACTCTTTCGACGCGAAGCTAAGCGTCTTTCTGTTCTATCCCCAGTCATATACAACATCTGCGAGGACTTCCAACTCGATTTCTTTGCAATGTACTGCTGTGTGGGTCTGTGGAACGCATTTTTCCTCATATGCTACTCCCTTTTCGGAGTGAGTCGTCTGATGAGGTGGAGCACGAGATCCACCGAGGAGATCTTCGCACTCTTCATCTCCGTCGCCTTCTGTGTCGACGCCACACAAGACGTCATCAAAGGTATCCGCCGACGCCTTCCCGCTCTACCCTTCACTCTTCTACCGAGGAGATTTCTCTGCTTTCAACTTGGCATTCCTAATTTGAAGGCATTAGTCGAGCAATAACTAGTGTATTACTCCAGAAAGCTAGTCGTAGCTATTGGTACCAAGGCTGCACTCTATTTATTAAAAAATATTGAACTGACTAGAAGCTGCGGCTATGGATGCGCATACCAACTGGGGCAGTTAGTATGCGCATCCATAGCCGCATTCCCTAGTCTACCCCGGAGCGATTTGCGCGGATATAGCGGCGAAATAATCAAGTAATTGTCGTTAATACGACAGCAAATTCTTTTAAAGTCACATTCTACTTGCTATTAACAATATTTCTCACACATGCGCACAAGCTGGGATCCTTGAATAAATGGAGTCGCCACAGGGTGAACCAGCTCAGAAAATAGTCACTTGGAGACTTAATGCTTTTACTTACATGGAGAAGAGAGGAGGAAATTCCGTTCCTTATAAAATCAGTAGAGTTATACCTAGAAAGTATTTTTTTCCCATTTCCTTACTAAGAATGGAAGAAGGACCAGGACACCCTCCTTGTCAGGGAAAGCTTAATCGTATTGAGGTCAGTCTAGTCACAATATCACTCCAAGATTGCTTCATCAGCCAGGCCGACGTATGGACAGAACTTGGAACGTGTTTAAAATCTCTATTGTCTATATTCATAGAAGAACACGTAGTAGTTGCGTGGAAAATATAACGTTTAGGACTTGGGTAGACTTAGCTATGTAATAAGATTTTGGAGTGATGTATAAATTCGTATCAAAGATGGGTTACGTCATTGGAGTAAAAAAAAAAAAAAACTAAAACAGTCAGCTCAACCTAACAATATCAGAACGGGTCACTGGCCGCAGGAGGGCCATGCATATTATTAGTTATATGATTAACAGATTTTAACTTGAACTTGAACTAGTTACCGAGTTTAAAGGGAAACTAGGATGACTGGTATAACACCAGCACGATGTAGTACAACCAAGTATTGTTATTTTAACTCGTGGCTAACTATTGCACGGCTACATACTAGTCATTACCACGGTTGAATTTAACGAACATTTGCATTGTTGCTGAAAGTGCGCGGAGATTTCTGCGTTGTCGATTGAGGTGGAAGAAGATCGACATTCTTTGCGATTTTCCTTTTTAGCCGTAGGAAGCAGTGTCTCGTGTTGGAATGTCTATAGCAATTGTGAATTTGCAGATTTTGCCAACAACTACTATTCCCCGGGGTGTATGGCGACCGGACTGGAGGTATTGAGGAACGAGAGTGAGCCGTTGATCGTTCCCTATTCGCCGAGGAACTTCTCACCAGATGCCTTCGATTATTCGAGTGTCAACTCCTCTCCCGCACACCCAGAGCAGTCCTTCGAGGGGTGTCGACGAGAGAGCTCCATTCTTTTCCTCTTCCTTATGCTTGGGACCCTCTGGTTAGGTGTCTCCCTTTACAACTTTAATAAAACGTAAGTCTCGGAGCCTCCTCACTTTCCGAGAGTTCACCCTCTCCGTTCTGTTCTGGAGTCACATTGCTTGGGAATCGATCCATTTACTCATTACTGACTCTTTCGATGGAACAGGCCGTACCTTCAAGCGAGCAAACGAGAGGCGCTCGCTGATTATGCCTTACCCGTTGCTGTGTTGGTGCTCAGCTTTGTTGGATCTTTCTTGTTCAAGGATGTCCATTGTGAGTTCGGATCGTTTTCTTTCCTTTGTTACTGCTCGTGCACGAGCGTTGATCGTCATCTATGTTGCAAAATGTATTTTCCCATGCAGTGGAACATTTCAAATACGACAACACGAGAGTGTTCAACCTGGCGGCGTTGGACAAGCTGTCGGTGGCGGCCATCTTCGCATGCATGGGGCTCGGCTTCTCTCTTTCCTTACTCTTCTTCATGGATCAGAACATCACATCCGCCATGGTCAATAACCCCTGCAATAAGTGCGTTTATTCCCTCTTCCCTTGCCTCATTTGTCCCGTAGCACTGCGATGATGCAGCCGTTTTGGTCGTTTTGCAGATTGAAGAAGGGACCAGCGTACCACTTGGACTTGTTCGTCGTGGCCGTGTTGAATGCATTCTTGTCCCTATTTGGGCTTCCCTGGATGCATGCCACCATCCCCCATTCTCCTCTTCATGTCAGGAGCCTGGCCGACGTCGAGGAACGCGTCGACCAGGGACACGTCTACGAAATGTATTCTGTCGCTTCCTTGTCTCCGAGTAATTTCTCTCTCCATTGACTCAAGTGACTCGAAAATTACTCTGGTCTCGGTGTGTGTGTGTGTATTGAGCAGCATCGTGACGGTGCGGGAGACGCGGTTGACGGGGATGTTCTCTCACATCCTCATCGGGCTTTCCATTCTCATGCTTCCCCTACCGTTGGCCTACATCCCGACGGCCGTCCTCGACGGGCTCTTCCTTTACATGGCCGTCACTGCTCTCAACGGGAATCAGATGTTCGAGAGGATTACACTTCTCTTCATGGAACAGGTCCGAATGCAGCTTTATGCTATATTATGCTGGCTGCGAAGAAAAAAAAAGGATACCAAATATACAAGTAGTCGATTAAATTTAAAAGTAAGCATGAAATAAATCGCATGAAATTTAATGTCCTGAATAAAGACGCTATTACTAACGAGCAACTTGGAAAAGTCAGGCATTTTGCCGTGTCCAGATTACACTCTTGGGGATATGAAGTTCTACTAAAGAACTATGTTAGTGTGTAGTCTAGATGGAGACGCAGTCATGATCATTAAAGTAGATTGATATTTTTCAAAATTATTTTTTGAGACCCTTTGGGAGACGGACCTACATAAACGTATCTCTGAACGTCTCATACTGACCTGAGGAAAGAAAAAGTTCTTGTTAAGTTTTCGTACTAGCCTGAGAACTGCCGGATGAGAACAGGGACTTGATACCCGTGCATACGAGATCTTCAATCATTCCCCGCTAGAACAGGGAGGTGAGACTGAGGTGAGAGCAGAAGAGATGGGACTCGGGGTCACTGTATCAGCGTGTTCACGTGTAACATCGATGGTTGGTTACCGTTGCCTGCTGTCTAGTGTCCAGCTACAGTTTTTATAGGCACCGGTGTCTTCTTGCTTCCCTCACTGGGAGGGTTTTGGATCACCGATCACGAACATATGTATTTTTTTTTAAAACCTTTGGTCTGAGATAATCGTGGCCTGCGGCATCTTTTTCCATATCAGCGAAATTAAACAAGATTCGAGCAGAAAGATTGAGGAGGAAGAAAGCTCTGATTCATGTCAAAAGACTGCGAATCGCAAAAGGTAGAGAAAAAAACTGTTTCCTCATCTTGCCAATTCTTCGTGACTTGGTAAAGTACTCCGTTACTTTCTGCGAAAAGAGAGAAGCTCATGGCAAGTAGGTTCTTTCCTCCATTTTTCTTCCGAGAGTAACAAGTCATGCACCTCTGTCCAAATGGATAGATAGCCTGACCCAATATGCTCGGTGCTAATCAGTGGAAAGGGCTGCANTCCTCCATTTTTCTTCCGAGAGTAACAAGTCATGCACCTCTGTCCAAATGGATAGATAGCCTGACCCAATATGCTCGGTGCTAATCAGTGGAAAGGGCTGCAGTGCGCTCTCCCTCTATGGATGTGGCCTTCTTATATGGCTTCATTCTGCTCGAGATGAGACAGACCCAGCTCCAAAGGGGCTCTGCTCTTAGATACCGATTCCGATGCCACAAGCCGGCTCTTAGCACATAATACCTTGTAAGAAAACCCCGAGAGAAACAGACCGACACATGACCCAAATGTCAATATACCTGTTTCCCCTTCCCCAAGGGAAGGACGGTGGCTTGCTTGTTGGAGGGGCAGACAGAAATAACAAAACAAGTAAATTAGAAAAATACTATCAATGAGAAAATGTTGAATTAATATGCAGCAGCCCTGAAAGGTAAAGGTGCTCGCCAACATGGCTGCCTCTCGAAATCCTTCCTTCCTTTCCATCCTGATTTTTTTTTCAGATCTGCTTTGAAATTATCGCATCAGTAACAATACGATGAGCTTGAAGGTCATAACAGACTGGAATAATTGGAATAATTTCGAGATTTTCCTCCTTTTTTTGCATATGTGCAGGCGGCGTATCCTCCGAATCATTACATCCGAAGAGTTCCACAGAGGAAGATTCATCAGTTCACGGCGTGTCAGGTGCTTCAACTATTGTTCATGTGCGCCGTCGGCTTCTCACCATGGCCATACATCAAAATGGTCTTCCCCATCCTCCTCCTCGTTCTCATGCCCTTCAGGTACTCCATGCAGTCCATCGAATTTTATGAGTCGTTTACCTCCTGTATCATATCCAATG